TAGCTGCCAAAAGAAAATCTGCACCAGAAGACTGAAACTGGACATCTGAGAAATGGAGTAAGGTTCATAGGTTGATGAATTTAAATGTGGTCTAAACTCAACATCCACAGAATGATAAGTCTAAATGTGTAACTGGGATTACTTGGATTGTGAGAAACAGAAAATACAACCAATTTCTAACTGTGGAGGTGTTTACAAGAAGCATGGAAAATCATCACGGCAGACTTTTTTGAAAAACTGAAAGTGAAAAAAAGTGGAACCTTCTGAGTAATTTTCTGTTTTCTGATGCTTGAAAAATTTGTATAGAATGGCTGTTTCGATTAGAAATCAATTAAACGAAGGACTGTCTCTGAATTTTGCACAGTACTGTACATTGAAATTTATTAAATTAGCTATTAAGTTGGCAAACAGACTAGCGTATGATAGCAGAGCAGTGTTTTGAGATTCTGCATTGGCTTTCAATTTTAATAGTAATGATATGATGTTAATAAACACTGAATATTTTGTGTTTAAGTACTAGAATAAAGCTGTTTATGGGAGAACTGCATATATATGCTGAAATAAGAAAGAATAAGAATAAGAAAATCACATTTTATTGTAATAAGTAAGTTTGCCCTGCATTTGTAATGATGTAGATCTAGAGATCTTTAGAGTTGGACATCATTAGCTATAACACAGTAAGATGATTTGTTAATTTTCTTTCTTTTAAGTAAATGTCTGTGGAGAGTACAGAAGGTATATTTTGAGTTAAAGGAAATACACCACACATTTTCTAAGCCGCTTATGCTTCTGGGTCGCAGGGTTAAAGGAAATAGTTTAACTCAAATATGCACCATTATTTTAACAGAACTGTCCACTGTAGGAGTTAAGGAATTGTCTGATGATTATTATATTAAAAAACTTATAAAATAATATAAAAACTTATATAAAAAAATTAATTTTCAGCCATCACACTTCTTTTTATGGAATGTTTTGTTACAGAGCAGAGGACAAAATTAATCAGAATAATTAGCTAAAAGAGTCACTGATAATGCTTTTCTTATCAAAGTTAATCATGATACACAATTGTTCACAAGCCTTCCCACGCTAGGCTTCATCAAACATTTGATAACAGGGGTACTCAGGCCAATTCATTGAGTGTTGTAATGTCTACAGATACTTGTTTCAGCCCTGCACAACGTCACCTGATTTTGTTAATGACCTCATCTCCTAAACAAAGAAGGGAGCATAATTAGTGAAATCAAGTGCTATTGTGCAGGATGGGAATGAATACCGATACACATCACAGCCAAGGACTATGGTTTGAGTAACCTATCTTGATGGAATATTTTTAACTCTCAGATTGAAATTCTGCAAATGTCAGCCTTTGACTTTGCAGATGTGAGTGCAAGCACACTAAAGACAGGCTATTACAGCTCTCTATGCATGTAATCCTGGGAAGCCCTGCTCTCATATTCTGACCACACTCAGGAACATGCTGAGAGTAAAGCGGTCTGTGCTTGAACAACGGAGCTCCAAGTTTAACATCTGTGGACCGAGACTGAAACACGAGATAAGCCTCAGCTTGAGTCTTAGTAAGCAGACTCCTCGTAATGCGCAGACAAATTACAAAAAATATGATGAAAAGCTTTAAAATACTGAATGAGATGGGTTAGAAAAAGAGCTAAAAATATCTGGCCAGGACCAATGAGCTTGTAGGCGCTGGAGATATCCAACGCAACTTTATCAACAGGTGTCCTTCAGCAGCAGAGCTGACCACTGATCAATCTCTCCCACCCATCTCCTGCCCATATAGATCCAAATGTCTGGGCCAGCATCAGCTACGACTTATTCTGGCTGGAAGGGGCGTTTCATTTGGCTAAATATTCAAGTGCTTTAATGAGCTGTCACTTCTCTAAATAAGATTTATGACTGGGAGGGAAATCTTATGAAAAACAGAAAGTAATCCATAAAACTTCATATCTATTCCACAGAGCGAGGACTGCCAGAGTAAATGAGCTCCTAAGTGTTTTCGCATTTTTCAGGGAAAACTGGAAATTAAGTGGCTTAAGCCGCAAACCAGACAAAAGGGTAACCACAAGCAGAGAGGTGGTGGGAGCTGCAAGCAGAGTTTATGGCTTTAGTTCTTTAAATGTCGGTAAACATGGCTTTTTCCTCAGTGATCCTTTCTTGATGCTTGTACCTTCTCTCCAATTAAGGGACAAGAAAGAGGTACTGACCCTTTCTTGAGCTCAGCAAGCAAGCTTGGGCTCAATTGGATTAAACCTAGTCTTGCACTAAATTGGAATGCCAATGGTGTTTTCACCAAAAACCCTATTTAGTCTAGGCTTAGGCTTAATTGTGGTCTGGGAAATTGGCCAAATATGTAATTTGCCAAGTCAACTGTTATGTACCTCATGTCAAAGACATGGAGTTCAACATGACATGTTCTGAGGTTGGTTGGTCCAGTGGTTGAGGTAAAAACTTCATTATGAGGTTCTATTCAAGTTCATTCACCAACAGCTTGTATCTCAGCTAAATGTTGCGAAGAACAGTGATGTTTCAAGAACAAGACAGAGCTCATCATTCTTCTCCCCTCAGTCATGAGTGAGCTAAAAACTGATGAGATGAGCCGGCATCAGTGACTAGCTCTTCTGTGCCCGGCCAGGGCTCTTTGTCATTGATAGGCTCTTCGTTGTGTGAACCCGTCCAGCTCTGCTGTGTGCAAGGTCCAAGCAGTGGCAGTACGGGACTTTGAGAAGTCTTTGCTGCGGCTGCTGGAGGAGAGTGGGGCCGGTGCGTACAAACGAGGCCAGTCCGCTCCCTCTGGTGCTCTGTGGCTCAACAGAGGACATAGAACCTTCGCTAGTTCTTCCCTTCAGCTAATTAGCTCAGTAGGAGAGAGGCGGGGTGCTCCAGAAAAAAAAAAAAGGAGAGAACTAAGGAAAAAGAGAAAAAAACAAATTGACCTCCTCAAGTCAAAGAAGCCTTAGAAATAGCTGACCCACTTGTAGACACACTTTCAGATATTTGTGTGTCCTCAATGCAGTAACCTATATAGCGGTGCACTTGCATCAAGTGGAAGCACAACTCCTCTATTGCTGAGCAGGGGAAGTGATGATGGTGTGCGCCTCACACAGGAAGCCCAAGGGTCATGCGTGTGTGTGAGATGCGTGGTTCCTCTTTGCTCACTGATCCACCTTCAGAGCGTCTGAAACAGGCAGGAAGATGATCCACTTCCGCCTACTCTACCTTTTCCACACTTCCACGCAGACACTTTTTGGCACCGTAAGAGAAAAAAAGGTGCTAGCTTACTGAGAAAACACTGTTCATCTTTAGCAAGAACCTAAATATATGCTCCTTTTTTAACTTGACTTCCTGGGGCTCTTTTTCCTGATGACATAAGCAGACATGGTCAATATCAGCAGAAAATGCTGGATCAGATATGGGGGGGTGAATCCTGTAACAAATCTAGCCTGAAATAGGTTCTGTATTTTGAAAATAAAGGTTCATTCTAAAAGTGATGCCTAAAAAGATTTAAGACTAAACATACTAAACAGGTAATGTATTCACACTTGGGTATAAGAAAAGCAAGAAGACCTGTGTAATGAAACAAGGAGAAAGAACTCCGCTTTCAAAACTGGATCAATTGGTGTCTTAAGTCACCAAACAATTACATGTTATGTTAAAAGCAGATAACTATGCTCCTGTCCCAGTTTTTTTGGAACATGCTGCAGGCATCAAATCTGGAATGACCATATATTTACAAAAAAGTTTATAAGGTAAAATACAAAATGTTTGTGTTTTTATACCATTTTCTAATGTAATAACATAATATCACGTTAGTTATACAAGTCAAAAAGAATTAACTTACAACTGCTTTCTCTTTTTATTTCATAGACTGTCAAAATGTTTTTGGAATTGAGGTTTGTAGCTCATTTTCAACCTTAGTAATTTTTCAAGGAGAAATAACCTATTGGTATCAGTATCACTCTATATTCAAAGTGTAAACATCAGCATGGGTAAAGAAAAAGTAGTGTAGTGTCATCTCTAGATATAAGCGATAAAAGCCTGATGCTTTGGCGACACATTCGCATGGTATTATCAGAGCACATTGTAAACTAATTAGAAGAAGTCATTTGAACTCACATCACAGAAGCACATTATCTATAATACAAAACTGCAAAGCCTAGTTTGAAGCTAAATGCTGGGGTGGGTGAGGGAGAAATGGCTTGCATCTCCATAGGAGTCCGACTGAAAGTTATTATGAATGAGTGGAGTAGAGCAAAAAAAAAAAAAGATAACATTGTCAGGGCATTTCACTCTGCAATACAAGGATGATTCTATGACATGAATACAAAAAAAACCCAACCACCAATCAGAACAACAGTCTGCCGGTGAATAAAACGCAATTTCATGAAGTGATAATGCACTGCATGTTTTCATATGTAAACCATTCCAAAGGTGATGCCAAAATTCCCAAGATGTTTGCAAGTGGATGTCCATTGGAAAAATGAGCACAGACAAGTTTTATTCTTAACGTGAATAATGTACACGGTTTGCTGCATAATCTGTTCTTCAGGTGCATGGTGCTGAATATGTGTAGTTACCTAGGCACTGATCAGAGGTTTCCTGAAAAGAATTTTAAAGTGCCTCTCATACACTAACGCCTGTAAATTATACGGGTTTGCACTTAGATAAATGGTGCTTGAGGAAAGAAAAAACTTCTAGTGACAGGACATCCAAGGAAATGCTGTGTAACTGCTTTATGATTTAAATGACTTTGAGCTTTCTGCTGTGAAAGTGTTCTATTCGACTGCATTATCTGGACCTGAGCATGTATTGCCAGGATTATAGTCTTAGAGCGTTTGTCCACATAGAAGTCGCCAAATTAAAAAAAACTAAAAAGGCAGGACAAGGAGACCTGTGTTCAATTAAAAGAAAATTGACAGTGCTCAATGAACCCAGGACATTAAAGTAGCCATTAAGAGTTCTATTATGGTTCAATAATGTGGACTCACCTCTGAGACTGCAAGATCTGTCTGGGTTGTTTTGTCAGCTTTTTGGCAAAGGGGTTTCTGTGTAGCACGGGCAGCTTCCTATAAGAAAAAAAAAAACAGAAGAATTAAAGTACAAAATTACAGTGTAGTGTTCCATCACAGTCATGTTGCTAGCTCTGCATTGCAAGTAACATCTAATAACGTTGGGTCAAATCTCAGAATATCAAAAGGCTTTCATCTCCCGGCCAAACATATGCTTGAATAGCAAGCTGCTAAAAATAATAAATGTAATGCAGAGAAAAAGCTGCTGGGCCACCATACCTTGCTAATGGCATCCAATGAAGATCATAAAAATTGAACAAGGCAAGCCCAGCCAACAGGCTGCCAGACTGAACACTGGGAAGTATTTTATCATTTCTCGCAGTGGTCTAGAGAGCTCTTTTGGCTACAGTACTGTATTCCTTAAAAATAGAGCAGTTGTTTTTGGCAGTACAGTCTCCCTAGTGATGATGTCAAAAAGTATAAATTCTGTTGATCTCAGTTCTGTCAGATAGGAGTGAAATTAGCCACACGTGTTGTGAATAAGCATGTTTATAATAGAACTGTGGACAATGGACACTGGAGTATGGGCCCTTGCCCACAAAAAGATTTTAAGTAAACTCTGCTTTGCTTTGGCTGAGTGTCATTCCACCCGGGGGATTTGAGTGACTGGATAACTCTTGTTTGAGATGCACAAACAGGGAAGGCACTGTGCTATTTTTTACAGACACTTGGCTGTATGAGAAAAGGAAAGGCGACCTTTAGAGATCTAAACTAAATGTAAAGATGCATGACTATAACAGAAGGCATTTTCTGGAACCTACTGCTCATAAAAGAACATGACAAATTTCTGCAACATGAGCCCCACCAATAACACTAGAGGAATGTTAAAAAGTACATCTGTCTTAAACCTGCATATCAAAAGCAATCCAAAACCTGTATAACAACATTATCTACAAAGATAACACAGCTTGTTTGGCTTGTTTACGTAATCAGTCCGTTACATGGCTTATCAAAATGGCAGACGAATAAAGATTCGACCTTCATCCTCCATTTTACTCTCTGTAAATGGGAAAAAGAACAATGGCCTTCCGAATTTGATGTGCTTAAAAAACGAGTCCTCTGCAATCACCTCCACAAATCAATCCAACAAATATCATATTGTGCATAGAAAATCGTTATGAACTCCTTACACATTATGGCTTAAGCATTATTCTTCATTTGTCCTCTTGCATTTACAGCCTCTTGACTGCCCTCTACAGCTTTAGTTAAGCCCTTCTTCCCTTAGTTAGCATCTCATGCTCTCCCTCTCCGGTCTGCTGGCCTATAAATTTAAGCTGGACCTGTCACATTTCTCCTTCACGTGTCTATCCACTTGCTGTTAGGACATAGAACAATGTCTTTCTCACAGTTAGTGCTGCTGAGCATGTAGAATGGTACCTTGTAGTGCTGGGTGATGCATTGTCTGTGGTGCTATGCTGGTTCTTGTATTACACAACAATACTGATTTTTAGTTTTAGTCTAATTGACAGATAACAGAAACTTAATTCCACTGTTTTTCCAAAATTTCTGTATAATTCAATCAAGTTAAGATGTGAACGAAGTAATTCAGAGTCATTCAGTCTGATGTAGAATAGTGCAGTGTAGAGAACGAGAAATCCTTTACAATAGTGATGATGGAAACTGGGGCATCAGTATGTCTATAATGAAAATATAGTCACTTTATTTGCTTTTTTAAAATGACCAGTGAACCAACATGTAGCTTTTAGAGGCATTAAATGTTTCAGATGTCTGGTTCTTATCACCACTGCTGTGACAATTATGACTGTGAGTTTCACTACATTGCACCATTTCACATCAAATCATTCCGAATGACTTTGTTTACATCTTAATGATTGAATTATGCAGAAAGTTACAAAAATCTAAATGGAAAAGTGGGAATCCCCTTTAACTGCAATGTATGTCATTTGCTAGTGGCTTTAGATTGTGCTAAAAGAACAGTTCCAAATACATAAAACAAATAAATAGTAAGTAAGCAAACAATACAGTCAGGTTCCTTTTGGGGTAATTTTAAGAGAAGTGGAACAAAACAGGCCAATCAAAACAAGCTATGTCAAGTTTGTAAGATGTTCTTTTAACATAGTGTACCTATACCTTTATAAAGGCTAACTTTAAATTATCATCTGATCTGTAAAATTTCATGATGATTAATTTTCTTTTCAGTACTGCCTAACACTAGCACATTCAGTGACAGCCAGTAAACCCATTAAATAACCCATTCTCCATTTTGCTCCTAAACATCTACATAATTATCTACACAACATACAAATGCAGTAGTTTTGAGTGGACCAGACACCACAGTGTCATCTAAAACAGTGTCATCCATCAAAAATTAGGCAATACCAACAAGAAAAGAACTGAAAAAAGCAATCGTGAAACTCTTGTAATCTCAGCTGCTTGCGAGAGGACTACAGCTGTTTTGGCTAAGGAAACGGAGTTGATGTTGTTTGAGGGCTTTAGTTTTCTCACCAGCTCAGCCTGCAGTCGCAGGATCAGCTCATCTTTCTCTTTCAGCTGCTGCTGGAAGGACTGGCTCTCCTCTCTCGTTGGATCCTACAGATATATGCAGAGACACACAGAGACACACACACACACACACACACACACACACACACACACACACACAAACCTGCTTAAAAGGTTACTACATTATTCAGGCCATCTCTTCCAGTTGGAAACAAGTTCTTTATGTGAGAGCAAAAGTGAGTTGCTCTGAATGAGATACCGAATGCTGCGGTTTTGAGCAGACGTTTCGCTTTCCTCCATAAACTTCACATGAACTAGCAGGCACTTTCCCGCGACCTTGTGTTGTCGGCATCTATTATGTGAGCAGGGAGGGGAGGGTGTGGAGGGGGTGCGGCGAGGCAGCAGCTTCAAGGGCGCCAGTGGAGGACTGAAAAGGCTGGGAGCAGAGCACGGCGCAAACGCCTCAACAAACGGCCACCCCATCCCTCTTCAAACCTGCGCTCCACCTAAGCATGCGCAGAAAGCCCAACACAGATTAGACACCAACTGTACTGGTGTAAGAAAGCCTGGATATTCCCAGGCTGTTGTCCGGACAGGGCTTAATTTAAGCTAGTAACAGGCTTAATCCTGCAAGGTAAACATGGAAAGATAACAGCAAAACTTGTATTTCTTGTGCATGCAATTGCTTAATGCTGGGTTACTCACTTCTCTAGACTTCAAACTTGAGAGATTAAAAGAGTCTATGCAAAGAAACTTAAAAGATTAACAACTATAATGGTGCTCATAGGAAAGCCTATAAAGGCTCAAAACACTTGCCAGTTTGAGAGTAGATAATCAGATAAAAACAAAACATTAAAAAAAATAAAGGGTGAAATGATTGCTCCTAATTCTCTGCAGACAGTAGCACAGCTCTGATTTAGTCATACTACTTTTGGGGCACAACTGAAGGCTAGTTTTAAAGACAGCTACCATGAGACTTCATATAGGCACCATTTACACCTTGTCTCATTTGAAGCAGGTCTGTTTGTTATCTTTATATAGAAACAATCAGTGAAACCTGCCTTGTCAACCATTCACTAAGTTTGTTGTGACTGCTGTTTTATCAGGTCTTAGCAAGCATTCATAGTTTAAAGTTGTCTGCCCAGCCATGAAATTGAAGCCTGAACCTGAATTGTACCAGCAACTTGACCAGGCTTGACTGGTACGGCTAAATCTGAAACCCAAACCTGGCCCAATGCTGCTTGCAGAGACTAACAAAGAAGGATTGTAGCAGACATCATTTTAGAGTGTTTTGCTTTGTTACTAAGCACTTTAGCTGATCAACAGAACATTCCATGCTGCGATAAACTGCTATTTTTCACATTTGTAATACACTAACAGTATTTGTTGTCAGTATATTTTTGTGGAATTGCCGATCATACCTGGTAGAGAACAGCAACCACTCTACTCTGATCAACTGTTATCATTAACCCCATTGCGCTAAGTTCCTCTTACTGCTACTGCTACTTGCAAAAATGCTTAACACTCTTTGGGCAAGCTTAAATTTAGAGAACTCTCTGGCTCTTTGCCCTTCCCCACGCAGATGAATCTGAAGATGGCGAGCACATTGAAAGAGTACTCAAAGAGAACTCAGTCTAAACTTGGTGAAGGACCTGCCCTCCAAGCATATAAGTGAACTGTCTACTATCATCATCAGATCTTCATCAGTATAATGCTGATTCTGCATTTGAGACCTAAACATCGAGCCAGACTTTCTTTTTGAGCCTGTGCATAATAAAATCTTTTTTTATTTTAATTTCATTTTTTATTTATAGAGCACTTTTCAGACCCATTTCTTAAACGTAATTGACTAATAGAAGGTGGAACTCAGTTCCACAGTTTAGAAGCATAATAACTGAAAGATGCCTGCATGTGACGATGTATGACATGGTCCGAAAAACTCTCATAAAATCCAACCCCTATTTCAGGCTTTACAGAGTGACTCACAGCAGTGACACATATTTAGCGTGTTTTTTTCCCTCCTGTCTCAGTAATGCTACTTCTATCAACTACTTCAGTAATGCTACTTCTATCAAAAAAAATCTTAGCACAGCTTTAACAAGAAAGGGGAAAGATATGCTAAAATGTTTTCCATGAACCCGACAAACTCTCTCATCATTCATGATGGGACTGCAACTGAGGTACTGTTAAGCTTCATTCTCAGCTTCATTCAGGGGCACATTCACATACTCTTCAAACTTTCAAAGAGCTTTTCAAACTCAGCTAAACATTATACTAAAGAGAGAGCAGTGCGCAAGAGAGAAAATGTACAAACAGGTGAAATTTATGTAAGCACATTTGTTAAAATGAAAACAAATCTTCCGCATAAAGAAATTGGAAAATAAACCAAAGCCCAAACTGAACCTGATGCTGTAAAAGGGAAAAACAGTCCTGAAACCTGATATTTTGCCAGGCCCCTTCCAGGCTTGGGTTTTACATCAGAGTGTCTAGTTAAAAACACGTCTGACTTTTAACATAACCACTGGGTTATCTTATTTAACAGGGGTCTTGTGCTCAAATTTGTAACACATATGTGTGTTCTATTTACACAGTCTGTGTCACAGAGATGCTTTGTTCTTGTGGCCTGAGACAAAATTTGTTAAAAGGGTTTTATATGTGAGGTTTTTCTTGTATTTTACTTTCCACTTATGATATTTGCTGTTTTTATTGTACAAAAAATAATATAATTAATTTTCACATGAATAAATATAATTAATTTTCACATGAACATTTTTCAACCTCTCTTTATCCCTTAGAATTAAACATACTGCTTTTGCACTGTGACTAAGACTGATACATAAATGACCTCTGACTGGCTGCCCTGCACTGTGCCTCATTTAAAAAGCAGTTCATATTGCAACACTCCTTATAACTTAATGGAATGATGAGTGAATGTTAAAGTTTCAAAGCATACAAAAGTTTACACACTGCTAACTTTTATTTCAAAAAGGACCCCGTTTTCCATGACATAGGGCCTTTAAATCAGTAATAACATAAAAACTGCATTTTTAAGTCATTTTTGAGAGTGCATATTTCAAGTAGCACTCTATTGTCTCAAATTATTGTTTAAATGTTTAAAATTAAAAATCACCCTGCATCTAACTGTTTTAATGAAATGTTCATGTTTAAAACATCATTTACTCAAGGGTTAGACTTAATCCATGTCCAGAAAATGTCCCTGTTATGTAGTGCGGAGTCCTTCATGAGAGATCAGTGAAAAGGATTATGCGCTTCAATGTCATGCACTTAAACTAAGCAGTTCACACTCTATTGTTTCGGCTGTAATATGCTCCTTTATTGATGTTACATAAAGGCCTCGAGGGAAGCTGATGTCCCTCTGATGGCACTTGAAAAGTAAATCTGTCCAGCAAAAGCAGCGAAGATATTTTACTCAGAGTGACCCAGTGTCTCCTTTTTCCAGGTTGTTTTAACCAGAAAGACAAAGTATGGAGTTTCGGGCCAGACACTACGATTCAAATGTAATTCTAATGTATATCCTTTAAAAAATGAAAAGGTCACGTCCTGAGTGAGACACGCGGTAAACAGGCAAAAAAGATGAGCCTCCTCCAAATCCAGGCCTGGGGGGAATATTTAATTATATCTTAATTATAGATGTTCACCAAGAGGCGTTTTATCTGAGCAGTGCCATGGAGGACCTCCAGAGAGCAGTTTGGTCACAGTTGCACACAATTCTGTGCACTCTCTCATACATACACACACACACACACACACACACACTCAAACTAATGCATTACAGGACAGTGAACAGTGTCTTTAGTGCCATGCTGTAAAGCTGCACCTGAGTGGATTCTCCGTCTGCTTGGCCTAGATTAAACACTTCAGTGGAAAAACAACCAACAAAGCTCTTCTGTTATGGAACACACGCATACACAGAAAGCTGCTAAATGTTCAGCTCATCGGACACGTGATAGATGCGGTCGAAAATGTCACTGATGCAGTCGAAGACATTCAAAGGTTCCTCAAGGTCTGGCACCAAAGTGGCACTTTCAAAGTTTCATCGGCAAGCCAAAATAAAATTTTAATTTAAGAGTAATCTTAATATATCTATGCTTTTTATAAAATCATATTATTATCATATATATTGTTTTAACAGGGAAAGTTCTCACAATAAGTATGAAGACAACAAGTATAAAACAGTACAGTAAAAGTATAAAATTTCTTAAAGTTTCATTATTCCCCATTTCAAGTTACCACATGTCTATGCCCCTCTCATCCTATGCTATCATTCCGTCACTGGCCCATTCAATGCAAAATTCTATATGCTTGTGACATTCCTGTTCAGACAGCCAAAAGTAGCATATAACTTCTGGCCATGTTAAACTGAAGTTCTACTCATCAAAATTTCTGCATAATCAAATGGTTAAGATGTAAACAAAGTCATTCAGAGTTTCTGGAGGAACTTAGTGAGTCAGAATTGTTCACAGTGGTGATGATAGGAACCAGACATCTAAAGCATTTAACTTCTCTAAAACCCCCCTCACAGAAAGCTATTAAACAAAATGGTTATAAATATGCTGCCTGATGTCTGAGACACTGTTTTATGATAAGCTTCTAGTCAAAAACATGCATTTTTAAACTCTATCCATGGATTTTCCAGCATTCAGGGTGTTCTGAGGTAAAACAGTCCCAAAAGAAAACTTACTTTTTTTTAGATTTACCACTATTTTACCATTATCAGCATTATATTTAAAACTCAGAAGACAAGTGTAGGTTCACTGGTGGCTATATGTTTGTTGTAGACATTTTGACCATTGGTTCCTATCAGAAACACTGTAAAGAAATCAGAGTTGGTAAGTTTCTCTACACTGAACCTTTGGGACAAAAATTTGACACTGTCGGAATTTTAAATACTACCATCATTAATATATTTTAGGCAACGGCAAACTATGCATTCCAAACAAGTGAGCTACATTAGCGCTGACATGCTCTGTAGCAATAAGTTTCCTGTTGCCATGTCACATTCCTCTCATATATTTAAGTATACTAATAGATTCATGCTTATTTGTGATGCACAAAATTATACTGCTAGTGTCCCTGTGAATACCTTTTTTTTCTAAAGTATTAAAAGCTTGTGTTTTCAAGGGAAAATTGTGACCCCTGCACTATGGTAAAACATTTCACACAAATACCAATCTATATAATCATAAAATGCCATCCCAGAGGAGTTAACTATATAATTAACCATACATAAAACACATTTCTGAGTGCAGGGGATCTCAAACAGATATTACTCTGTATGACATATTGTTATTTATAAATACAGACAATTCAAAATGGTTGCTTTTTCAATGCAAAATACTTTTTTCCATTGTAAATATTTTTGAACTTTAATAAACTTTAGTATCTCAGCATTAAGAATAATATACAACTTTTAATGATGGGTAGATTTCTAAGATTTTCTTCTAAACATTGTACCCTCTTTCAGTCAGACCTTTTTATTTTAGTTATAATTCATTGTTTAAGCTTAAAAAAATTGATCTAACTGTCAAATAAATAGCAAGGACGTGAAAGAACTGGAGGACAGATGATTTTGATACACCATTCAGGGGAGATCCATAACGGGACTACCTGAGAAGGGCAACCACAAGAACTTTGTCAAGTGGTTATTAAAGAGGTGGGTGGTATTAGAGGGGCATGAAAGGCATGAAGGTATCCAAGCTTGCTCTGCTTCATTCCACCTTACAAAGCTCTTCGTTTTCACCAAGAGAAAGCCCGTTCCACAGGCTCTAGTTATAATGGAGGCAGGGATAGCAAATGTTCAGAACGGGAAGTTTTCTGCTCAAAGTAGGACAAGAAGTGACACGGTTCCGTCTCAGGTGGGATCGTGGGCTTTATTTTTAAAAACAGGGAACCAGGAAGTTTTTTCCCCCCCTACCTTTTTTTTCCCACAACGAAGCAGGACAAGTCCCACCCTTCTCCTGTCATCCGAACACAATGTCAGAATTCATGGGACCCTATTCTGAGCAGCCCTCCCTCTCACTGCACGGCGCTAGGCTACAGCCGGGCTGGAACATCACATGGTTCGCTGGTGTGACTGCTGCTTCTGCTAGCGCTCCATGTAGGTCAGTAAAGAGGACAGAGAGAGACGCAGACCTCGTTTCCACTTCGCTCAGCTCGACTGGATTTTCGACTCAAAAAAGTCCCAATGAAAAACAAAATCCTCTTCAGTCCTCAAAAAAAGCTCCATATACAAAATCATAAACCTTTCTCCCATGGCAGCCGTGGCCCATCTCCAAAGGATTAGCGCACATAATAAAATAATCTCATCAAGATAGCTGGAAAAATTTTTTATTGATGGTTGAGAAGAATAAATCAGATCAAGTTCTCTTCCATAGGGAAGCTGACTTGAAAAGGATAGGGCACATTTTTGGAAAACACAATAGGGGAAAGAAAATGAAAAAAACATGAATGGTAGAGAATTCCCTCTCAATACTGCATTTCAGTAATGCTGATATCTTGGATAGCCATGTTTTGAAAGATAAAGTTAAGCCATACTTTTTTTTACCAAATCATGAAGACATTAACCCTGAGTGCACTTAGTCAATGATGACAACGCACAAGCTTAGAAAGAGCAAGTCCATTCCATCAGTGGATAATTTAAAGGTTTTTTGCGAAATTGAAAGACTTCACAAATTAATTAAATAATTTTCACAATGCAGGCAATTACCTTGAGAGGGAGTGACTTTTCACTGCAGGGGCTTATGGGTAGAGAATGAAGGCTGCTGGCCGGACTGGTCTCGGTGCTCTAAAAAGGAGGGGAAAAAAAGTAAAGAATGCAAGTTCCAATCCAGCCAAAATAGATTTTTCCCCCCAGAATTAACAGAAGACAGTTCATGTGCAAAAAGGGTGAGTATTTTCGCATCTACGAAACTGAAAACTCTTGCCACTTCAAGACAGTGGATTAGAAACGGCAAGAAGGGTCATGCCCTCAGTAAGAATGCTTATTGCGTTACATTAAGCAGCAGTCAAAAAAGAAGAATTTCATATTATTTCTGCACAAAGATCATCATCATCATCATCCTCATCCTCATCAACAAAATCAGGGACCAGTTTCACCAGATATAAATAGACTACTTACAGTATGGGGCAAATGTCAGAGACCACCTTTCATTTATTTAATTTCCAGTCAAAATGGCCATTAAGTATAAGTACACTATGGATCTGAAAGGATGTGTAGCTGTCAAGAAGCAGTTACTGAGAAAACAAAATAGGCAAAAAAGAAGAAAATTTGCAATTTCCAAGGTCTAGACCTCAACATCATTTAATGGGTTAAATAATCTGGATCATGAGAAAAAGAAAATGCAACTTATAAGATTGAAGTTTGGGGGTGTAGAAAAAATCCCTGCAGATTTCTTTGAGAAACTGAAAGTCTCCAGAAAAGAATAGAAGCTGTTTTAAGGGTAAAGGGTGGAAAAAATAAATACTGAAATGAACATTACATTTAGTTGTTAAGGCATCTGTGTAATTTTCAGGTACATATGTTTTCAGCTTTTTTGACTGGAAATTAAAGGAATGAAAGGTGGTCTCTGACTTCTGCACAGTAGTGTACAGATAAGTTAAACTATACACATTAAATCAAAATGGGATGCAAAACTCGGGCCCAAAGAATATACCTGTTGGCCGATAACATGACCCAAGGTTTGAACGATGTAGTCAAAAACATGAGGCCCTAGTTGCAATCCCTGTGTAGGCTTAGGTGGAATTATTTAGTAGCTTCTGCCTGTATTTACAAGTCTTGTATGTAATAAGACTGTATTTATGCAGCTCTTGTAATCCTAATTATGATACTGTTGATGTGGTGAGAGGCGAAAGCTAAGATTGGGAGCATATCATACTGTGTTTATTCATAGCATGAAGTCAGAGCTTCATCCTAGAGCCATATGCAATGAAAGTTTAGATTTAGACATTTCCTTTTGGAAACATTCTAGTGCAACAGCTTCAGCTGTAATGTGTCAGTTGGGCTACATGTTGTTTTTGATAGCAGGTTGTGCCCCTACTATTTTCTGCAACAAACTGGAATGTAATGATTTAATGGAAGTTGAAGGTGCACAAAAGTAACATTCGTGAGGTGCACACTATTTTCTGCAAACTCTTTAAAGCTTGTGGCACCTCTACCTCTCCCCCATCACAAGCTGAACATGGTAATACTAAAAACAAGCTACTGCAGCATTTGAAATAGTGAGATAAATTGCCTCTGCTGTATGTCAGTTTGACTCTAATGACCTAACTAGCACAGTGTTGATATGCGACAACTGAAATGATAACCCATTTATAGTGAATAGGTGACTGGATAGTGAGCTGATCAATGTTTTGATTAATCATTTAATCATGAGTCAGTGGCTTCAGAGACCTACTCATGCTGAAACATAATAGAACTAATTATGTCCTATTACAAGATAGCAGAAAGGAAAATAAGCCTGAGAGTTTGTACACTTTTTAAATGGAGAGATTTTATGACTTTTCCACGACACAAAATTTCTATGCCAAACATTTAGCAAAGTGCTGGGCAATATATAATCTACAGCGGTATACCCTGATACTGACATACTATTTCCTGTTTTAGTGATATTTTTAGAGATATATTTGATAGATAAGGATCATTTAATTGTGTGCACTTTACTCATGGTATGCAGTCTTTGATGGTTTATATTTAACTAATTTGCTTAAAATCCATAAAAAATAAGGAAACTCAGGAAGCATGAGTTTATTAACTTGACCAACGTTAAACTCTTAATATCACCGGATAACATGATACTGAGATATTTTTGAAAATACCATTATACTGAATTTTATCAGTAACTACCCAGTATTAGTTTAACACAGACTGGTCCAAGAGGACAAATCGAAATATGAATTTAATATTTAAATATTATTAGCTAGTAAGTCAAAATGCAGTTTAAATGCATTAAAAGAATGACTGTGAGTAAAACTAAAATCTGACCCATGTATGGATATCTGCACCAGGTTTAACACTGAGAGAACAGATCTGTTATTTCTCTCAGTAAATTAATGTTGCATAATTTCAGAGCCTATTTATTTTGTTTTGACTTCTCCGGCATCCCATATTTGCATGGGCAAACACGTCCATCGGTTTCGTTTGTAAATAGCAGTTTAGGAAAGGGATGTAACGAGAGTTAGTTCAGAATATTCAGTACCTAGAGTACTGTATAAAATCATATCAAGTCAAGCATCCTCGCGCCACTTACAATGCATCAACTATAAACCTAGTATGACTCAGAGTAAAAAAAGCTAGTCTCACAGGTCTTAGTGTGACACACAGCAGTGGAGTTTTTTCCCTCTTACATTGGGCTTGCTAATTTGCCTTCTCCAGTGTTCGAATGTCATAACATGTCCCACCACACACACGTCCTGAGTGTTACACCTTAGCTAGCTGAGATTCATATTAACAACGTTAGTAAAGCTAGTCTGCGTATAAATACATTAGTCTTGGTGCTTTTTGCAATCTAGACTCTTCAGTGCTTCCAATGTGATAAAATGACGAACCACATGGGGGAAAAGTCCAGGAAAATCCATGATTTTTCTAGGCCTGGAAAACCAAATGTCTATGTTCCACGACTCTTCCAGGATTTTAATGACTGTGCAAAGGCTGAGCCTAGTAATCTATGATTGCCAGAGAAACATAAAGAAGACTAGATTCTTGAGCAGAAAGTTTTTTGTTTTTCACTTTTGTTCAGAATTCAAGGAGAGAGAAGTCACTTACAGTGTGCATAGTCGGTATATTCCTGATTGTTTACACAGATCATAGTAATGGCAGGAGTTACATTTAAAGTAAACTGCTGATTGTGGTTTCTTTCAAGCTGCTCTCTACAAGCATTCTAAAATACCAGCCTGCTCCCAAATGTGTCAGCTTTGATCAATGTGTGTCCTATACTTAATTCTTAAGGACAAAAGAAAAAGAACCTCTTTGGTGAAACTACAAAAACAAACAGGCATAATGGAAAAGACTGAATCAAAATGTTGAGCAAATTGATGGTGTTTCAACTTAGAGGATTAATGCATGTTCAAATTCAAACAGAATACTCAATGAGAAAACAAAGGTAAAACAAACGTGCTAGAAATGCTACGGTACTTGAATTTATGTAAGGTTTTCTTTGAAGACATTTTTAATAAATATAATAAATACTTCTGGTTATTTAGATCATAAGCCTACTGCTAAAACTTGCTTCTGAATTTTGGACTGCCATTTCACTAATATGCACAAATGCACAGAGGTGGGCAAAGTAGCCAAAAATTACATTCCAGTGTAAGTACTGTTATCTTAAAATAGGAATTACTCAATATAAGTGAAAGGCACCCAAACTATCACTTGTGTAAGTGTAAGAAATCTAGTGAAAAGACTACACTGCATTGAACTGTCGAAACAATTGATGTGAATTCATTATGTCATTATAAAATGACAAAAGTGTGAGGGTGTGGCTAATAGACATCAAATGTGCTAATCAGGACAAATGATAAAGAATCTCTAGCAGAAGAAAACATATGACATGTGAACTGAATGCAAATTATTTAAAAACGTAACAGAAAAAATGTCTTTGTGGTAAGTTGCCTCCATCTGGCACCGAAAACCTTTACTTGAAGTAAAAAACTAATCAAAATTTCTCAATAGAGTGTGGCTGCAGACATGCACTCTCAGACAGATGCACTCTCAGCCCCAGTGACATCACGTGCACGTGTACAATGGCAGAAGCAGCCCAACAGCAAGTTAATTTTGGCTGCTTCTGCTTAGCAATATCACTTAATTCATTTTTCGTCCATAACACAGCCAGAGAATTCAATTTAATGTACCTCTCTGTTGAAAAAAGTCATAGAACCTATTAAAAGTGTCTGTTGATTCCTGGTGGTTTTCAGTAGTTACTAATGGTATTTGGTGTCTTCCTGATGGGTTGATATCACAGTATAAAAAATTCAGATCATTTAATCAGGTATTCTGGGACTGATTCCAGATATATTTGTTCGTTTCCTAATGGTCTCTAACGGCAACCATCAAGCCAACCATCTTCCTGTTAGGAAGCAAAACTATCAGGTTTTATTCCTAACGGTTGTAATTGTCTTCAGCACGGCTTTCATGAATTTCAGCAGTAGCCTGTTTGTTTTTCTTTGCGAATAAACCCAACATTTGTCTTATCGTCATGGTAGGTTTTATTTTGTAAGTTTCCATGTTTAATTACCTTGTTATCAGTATGATAATGCTAATATATGTTCAGCGTAACTCTTGTTGCCCAACAGTACGTGGTTCACTGTTTCTTCCTCATAAAACCGACAAAAACACTGTCATGGCAGAGCGTGCACTGACGTCATTAATAGGCTGGTGGTGCATGTCAGGTTGAAAGTGTATGTCTGCAGCCAGACCCTTCTCAAATTTAACAAAACCACCTCTCACAATCATTGGCACCTCTGTTATTTCACACTTTGCCATCATAACAGCAACAATTCTTTTCCTATATTGCTTAATGAGACTGGAGAATACAGAGCAAGGAATCTGAGACCACTGCTCAATACAGAATCTTTCCAGATCCTCAAGAGTCCAAGGTCCTTTCTTTTGGACTTTCCACTTCAGCTCACCCCACATGTTTTCCAATAGGGCTTAGGTCAGGAGACTGGGATAGTCATGTCAAAAGCTGAATTCTGTCCATGATGTCATGTATCAAGATTCCCAGAGCCTTCCAAATAGTGTGTTGGCAGGGACATGGCATCTAATTGTAGTTTTGGAGAATGGGTGACCAAAAATTGCTACCATATCCTAGAAAATCTCCAATCGTGATCCTTGGACAACTTTTTGCCTCTCTATCTATCTGCATCACTGAGAAAAATAGTAAAATGGGAGTAAAACAAACATGTCTTCAGTACAGGTTCACTACAGCTCCAGTTGTTTCAAACTTCCTATTGACCTAACAGTGGATATGGGCATTTCAGGAGTGTAGATATTTTTAAGCCACTGCCTAATTAATAAGAGTCAGAACACCTTTATGTCATTTCATTTATGTATTTTCTAATGCTCTTCATGCAGGTGAATGAGATATGGAACTCATATTACCTCCACTACTAAACATGGACTTTGTTAAAACATGGTTTTGTTAAAAAATAACAATTTTATGCTAATATGAGGAAAGGATTTTCCCTATATTTTCAGTGTAGCCACAAAGCCTTTTTTCATGTCCATTTTTCCATCGTCATCAAGAGTGCCCAAAATTATCAAGTTGACTGTAGACTAGTGTAACTGCACAAAAGACTGTTTCCCTTTACAAAAATACTCAAGTAAGAGCATAAAGTATATTCTAGTAAAACAACTTTTATAAATTGCACAATTTATTTAAAAAAATATACAGTAACACGGTAACAGAGTACAGGTGGTGTGTTACTCCCCATCTCTGCAAATGTAAAAACAGCTGACGAAAACTGCAGAATTAAACTGTCAGCATCAGAAAGTCAACCACCACAAAAAATTTAAAGAAATATGATCTACTGAGTCAAGTGAGGACATACATACACTCCAATGTGTGAATAGAAGAAATGGAGATATGAATGATTTATGTTTAGGCTGGATTTTTATAACATCACAAGTTAAATCCTCAGCAGCATTTTCAGTTGCACAGTTGCCTTCTGTTTTAGTATTTAACATTCAAGTTGGATTGTTGTTCTCGGTTGTTTTTAATTGGCATATCTATGCGTCACCCCAAATTAATCTCACATGAGATATAACAAGAAGCAGTTTTTAAAAAAATAGAAATGAAAAGAAAAAAAGAGAAAAATATTAATCTGAGCTCAGTATCATTGGGTCATGCAAACAAAAACAGTAGAAAGGCACAAGTCATTGTGATGCTTGTTGGTGAACAGTTTACATATGGAGATGGAAGATGGCAGATTTGCAAGTTAATGAGAGGACAGAGTCGGCGAAGAGGGCAAACAATTTCCTCTTTAATATTCATGTTCTTCTGTTGTGTACTCTTCCCTGGTCCTTCTCTGAGGTTCGTAATTGTTATTTCAGGTTTTATGGCTTACGAAAATAGATTTAATGTAGCTAATGCTTAGAGGAATGTGATGAAGCAGTCTGCAGAGTGTGGTGGGTCTTTTGGTTAACAGCCATAGTCAGTAAGAAATCAGAAAGGAGCTTAACTCAGCAGAGAGAAATGGGGCTTCCACTGAAAACAAATGAGCTTGGCGTTCCTAGCTTTTACTTTTGGGTTTTAGTCAAAATTTCCTAACCACTTGAGCCATACCATGTATAAAGTGCACTGTGCCTGAACCAAAAACCTTTCAGCTATGCATTATTGCAATGGTGCATTGACTACAAGAATGTGACTTTTTTCAAGAAGAGCCATTTTAGCAGGTTGAATCTCTTATTCTGCTTGAGCTTCTCCCGTGGGGAGCAGGGCCCCAACTTTGGCCTAATCGATGAGGCTTGAAACTGGTACAGCAGATAAAGATGATGACGAAGAGTGGGGCAGTGGGTCCATGAATCAGCTGCTGGACTGGAACCTTACCTCCTGCAAGATCCTGCGCAGTCGTAGCAGCAGAGTTTTCACCGCCGTGCAGTCCTGCTGCATTAGCCTGAAAGGAAGTGCCTCCAGCCCAGCCAGTGGCTCATCATCCCGGGACAAACAAAGAGATACTGGCCGTGGCTCCCTGGAAGAACAAGACATGAAGTGAAAGGCTAGGGCCATGCTAAGGAGTGCAGGTCTGGGCAAGCAATGATAAATACAGCAGTAATTTAATTAGATTACTATTAGATTGGTATTATTAAAATGACCACTGTTACATTAGTAACTGAGTAACCTATTGATTATTTTGACAACTAATAAAGTAATCAGTTCTTAAAAAAGAAGACCAAACAATAACAATGGACTAAATAATAAATAAAAAGCCTTTGAATTGACACAAATAAAAAAAATGTAAAAGGTATGGGACAAAAAAATTACTACTACTTTAAAATCTTTAGTAGATGAATAATTAACATGCCCATCAGGCTCTGTTCCTTACTGTAAGAGAGATCAGTGGGAGAATATAAACTATGTATTACTGTTATTGTAACTGCCAACTAACCATTGCTGATTTACTGAAAAGGTAAATTTTGATCAATATTTTTTAATCAAGCAATTTGGTTATTGTGATGGCCCTTTTAAAATAATTAGATAACCCTGAAATCAAGATATTGTGTAAAGTGAAATAATCTTAAACCTAGTAGACATTTTTTAGTATTTCTCATCATGTGGTTGGTGCCAGAATATTATAAAATTGTTTACATTTTCATACTTTAAGTCATTTTATCTAGTGAAACTGTATTATTTTACTGGCAGCACAATTATTTTCCAATAGACCATTTCTCAACAACACTTGAAATAACTATCTTCACTTGTCAAGATATATTTTTGCAGTGTGTCTGAAATTTCACACAACAACCTCTCAACCTCAATATCCTCCAAAGACTTGTTCTTACTGCTTTGTCTCAGGAGAAAAAAAAAGGCTTCCAAGAGAGCAAGTCTAAATCTATAGTTAAGTTCTCAGATTTTATTCCAAAGAAAACTATGAAGTCTACCAACATATATAATTAAATATGAATCACTTCCGTTCTAACCCATTACCTCCAATATGCTTGCAAATCAAAGTGCATGGAAGTATGATCTAAATGGGATTTGATTAAGAGTCCTTACACCTACTGTTGATATGATGGAAATGCAAGGGCCTAATACCACATATTTACTTGGATAACTGAACTATTAAAAGTACAGACTACTACTGTGTTTATTATGGAGTTGAATAATATGTCCATGCACCGTATGTACATCTCATCCTCTATGAGAACAATTCAGATATTTTACCAAAGAAAAAAGAGAAACTTGGTAACTGAGTTATCTTTTCATTTATTTTTACAAGAATAAAAGTGGCCATCCACGCTTTTACGTAAGTGATTACCGCAATGATACCATTTGGCTGTATGGCCTGATAGAAATCTCTGAGTGTTTCTCATGAAACAAAATGAGATTGGATTAATTACAACAGCTTAATTCCTTCAAAGAGACGCCCATTTATACTTACAGATAGGACGTAATTGAAACACTTCAACTCTAATCAAATATTCAAGAGTATAAGCAGGAACTTTCAGAGCCATCCATCTTAAGAGATTTTAGTCAGTATATTTTGAGTCAGTTTCAGTTTGATTAATAAACATCAACTCAAGACTTCAGGACATTTCTATAAGGACTACATTTTGTTAATAGGGCTAGCTTAAATAAACTTATGACATTTCAATAATACACTGATATTTGCATATTTCTTAAAAGTTCAAATTCTGAACTTCCATTTTTCCTTCCACAATATTAGTCAAAATTTCACATTCATGTAGAAGCAATGGGTCTATTACGGTGGCTTTGCTGGTCAGTTATTAAAGAAAGCATTAAAGAACACTTATGAATTAAACATACTGAACTGTTAAAGGGCTTTAGAGTTGCTTGATCATGAGGCTCTCACTGGGATGCTCCATAACAGATATGCTCAAAGTCAGGTTACTTACAAAGAAGGCCAACAGCAAGTGTAACCTACCAAACATTTGTGCTTAAATCTCACCTCCCCTATAATGTATTACTTTAACTGACTGCGATTAAGAGAAAATAATTTGTTAATGCTCAAAATATTTTGACATTAACACTGACAACACAATTATTTTAAAACAAAGTAAAATGTTTACTGCAGAAGGAACAAATAAATACATTTATGTAGCCTAACAAGCAGAGCATCATTAGGAAACAACATTCGCAAAAGTCAAATTTTGGAGTAAATACCAGTGTAACAACTTGCTAGTATCATCAATAGCTTCATGTTTCCACAAGGACATATTTATGCATGGACGTTCTGTGCAATTTCCGGCTTTATGCTATTTGCCAAAATGTTAAAGACATCCTTTAATGGCAGATTTTCCGCAGTAGCCTCTCATCAGACTTTCTTCATTGGTGATAGACAGAGCGGATAATGTATTAAATTATGGGTTTCAGCGCTGCAGTTGAGAAAGTAAAGTGTGGATGAAAGAAATAAATGTGTCTCGTTTTTTCCTGGCACAGAAACCTATAACCATGACAAACAGTACATTTCTCTGAACATCAAAACATGTAGTGCTAACAATTTTTATTGTACGCTGGCCACTTACAAACCATACAGGCGATTCCCTCTCATACGGACGTGCCCGAGGCGGTCAACATTGTTCCCAGACAAAACAAAACCCAATCTAAACATTCTGAGGCAGTATACACATTAAATATTGAACACTAAGAACTGACCCAGTGTTAAATGCCTTCTTCTCGGCTAAACACCTCTGTCAATGTAACAATGTAATCGTTGACTTTGGACTAGGATCATTATTTACACCGTGGCTTAGAGGCAGCTTTTACTCAGTAATTACCCAGATTCAAACCACTGACCACAATTTCCTCTTTTGGCTACATTTTATTTTAACAGGTCATCTTCTAAGAAGAGCATTGTCAGCAAAGTTAAAAAAAGGTACAGATAAAAGTGTTGCAGCCACAGCACCATAGCCTCCTGCCAACATGACAGTGCTGACAGACTTTGGGGCAGATTTATCAAGGGTTTGTGCCATCGCAAACTCCATTTTGGAGTTAAAAACAGTCTAATAATTTACTCAAAAGGTGCAACGGTGCTATTTTTCTTACCTTGGCAAGAACTGTGTTGATGTATTCAGGTGGAACAGACACACACATTTAAATGAAGTAAATTCAAACCAATTCTCAATAGAGATTCTTTGAGGTACTGTATGTAGCTAAGAGGTTATTGCTCAAAATCATACAGTTACCAAACGACTCTCAGAGACTTGGGTTTACCGCATCCATCCAACCGGAAAACAAACGTGTTTCAAAAATACACTTATTTTCTTAAATTTCTGCTGTATTGCTTTTTTTTTCTTCAAACAATTATTTAAGTTGAAATATCACATACTTTCTCAATGAGTAATAACTCATTTTTTTTTTAACCAAGTCAAAATTATGAGAAAAAAGGTCATTACTCCGACCTAATGAGTGACTGTATGAACCTGAAAAAGGCTTGGCAGAAACAGGCTTTTATATAAAAAACACATGGTTATCCTGTGCCGGTTATATATTATTGATTAAAGTGTACATATGCTCATAAATATAACTTCAGAACATTAGAATACAGAAGTTTCAGTAGCCCATCCCGATGTATTCGAGTCAACTTTAGAATTGTTCCACAGACCATACAAGGATTACATTTTCAATATGCACAATGCAGAATTCAGTTGATGTGTGCACTCACAAGTGTGTGTGTACCAGGTATTTCATAATAGCATCAAACGTAGCTCAGTCAGTCAGCTTCTAGATCTAGAGGTTTCTGTTTTATTATTGATATTTTGATGATTTGTGTCCTTTTTTAATGCTTGCTGGTTAACAACTAATTGGTGACTGATGACGATCAGTTATCAATCGAAATAATTTCCCTAGTGACTACCATGTTTGTGTCTGTTGCGCTGAGAATGTCCACCACTCAAATATCTGTTCAGTAGTGGTCATATTGTCCCTTTTCACTGAAGGATAGCGTTGAGAGTGTATAGCCGTAGATGGGCTACAGTCAGTAATTGTCATATGGGTCTGTGTAGAACATTTAAAAGTAGTGGCCATTAGCTTTTGACAAGATTCAATAGTAACCTATAATATCCCATTACAATATCATTATAGCCATCACAGTCTCTGCCCAGGTCTCTCCGAATTCATGCCATCACTTTGCTATGCGAATACTAATAATGCCATCCAGTAAGGGCTTTTTATGAATACAGGCCTCTCTGCTTAGGCGGCTGACAACCCCCCCTGTGCTCTCACCTGGAAGCCTTGTGTTATTAGAGGGCGTAAAGAGCCAGCGTCCTTGTGCTCTCAACTGGCATCTGTCAGCTGTAATGGACTCTCCCAGCTGGGCTACTCTATAGTGTTCAAGTTATTAGTGCTGTATTCCCATCAGGCCTTTACCATTACTATTAGCATCATGCATTTGATTCCTAATTACTCGTTAATTTCACACTACAGGGATGGTGTTGCATATGTGCACCATGAACCCTTTTAAGCCGTTATATGCATTTCACATAATGAAAGTACGACCTTTACACATCTCAGAGAGTGCATATAAACACTAGGAAAAGCATCACGTCGTCGTCATCATCATCATCATCATCATCATCATCTCCAATACAGCACAAGCTATTAATATCACAATTTTCATCAGAGCTAAACAGGCCATGGGCTACCAATATTCATCAGTGTGTTGAACCAACAACAGCACATTCAAGCCATTTGAATAGCACCCCTGGTGTCACACACCAAAGAAGAGCAGAAATACATAAGCACAATAATTATATAATGGAGAAGAATCTGGACAACTGAAGCTTTTCTGACACAATGCACATAAGCATTTAAGCAAAGGAACAACACTGACATGTAAATTTATGCTACCTAAATGTAAACACCCAAATGAAGCAGTTTGTTTCAGTCAGCCATTTGTTAATTAAAAAAAAAACTAAAAAGGAAAAATCTGTAATAAAAGTGGAAACACCTGCCTTTTAAATATATCCAATGTGTCAAATACTCATTAGCCTAAAGGTACATCAGTTTTGATTTCAAGGTAAACCAGCTGCAGAAAATCCTACATTTGAGCGTAGCAATACACGTCAAAGGAAAATGTGAGGAGAAATGAGAAAAATGAAAAGATGGCAAAAACAGAATCACAAACGTGTCCGTAGTTACTTGGTATGGTCGTAAGCTGTACAGCACATTTGGTGGATGCAGATAACTGCATGAGTAGGAGGTGCTTTAAAAAAGCAAATGCAGTGCTATAGGGAGGAAATGTGTGGCATGAAACAAATTGAAAATAGAAATGAGAAAACTAATGGCTGAATATGTATGGATAGAAGGAGAGATGAAAAAAAGAGGACAACGGGAGCAGGTAGAGAAGAACTATGAACAAAACAGCAAAAGATATGGTGCTAACCAAGTTCTATTGAGTTAAGCACTTCAAGAAGTGGAGTAGCCTTAAGAATGCATGTACGTATATGTGTGTGCGTGTGCGTGTGTGTGTGTGTGTGTGTGTGTGTGTGTGTGTGTGTGTGTGTGTGTACAAATGTGTCTGGATAGAGGAATCAAAAGTGGTTTTGTTAAACAACAAAAAGCTATCAGTATGCAAAGCAGAGGTTTACACTGGAACACAAGCTTGAGGTGGCATACACCAGATTAAAATAAACAGTCAGAAAAAAAACTTATAGTAAAGAAATAGATAGAAATAGATTAAATGAAATGAAAATAGATGAAATGTGAGATGAAGAGAAGTGACTAAGGGGGCTATTCACACAAAATGTGATCCTATATCCAGGTTAGCATAGCAATATGTTTCCTACTAGGTTTGAATACAAATGAAGCAGAAACATCATGGTTCTCTGGGAAGGTGGAAGGATGCAAGAATACTGGTTGAAAAGGTAAGGAATGCCAAAAGAAAGAAATAGGTCTACTGTTTTTCCTTCCAGTTGTAATTAATGAAGCTGCTCTCAGGACATACCCACACTGGTTCATAGTATTGGACTTTGCAGGTCATGTCTTTTCACCAGTTTCTTTTTCTTCTTTTGGTAGGCAAGTCTAAAGGTCACATTGTACTGTGTTTCAGTAACAGCATGTTCACAAGGTCAAAACAACATTTACAGTTTACACATTAGGGAAGTACAGATTGCTTTTTATCACTGTTAAATTTACTCATACAGACTCGATCTTGTATGAATCGAGTGAAAAAGATTTTCACTTGATTCATGCACTCATAGGCGTGTAGGCAGATATGGCCATTTCACTGTGATTTTATATGCCAAAGAGCTCTATATAGCTCTACATGACCTCTAGGCTAATGTCACATTTTGACTTTTTGACTCATTCACGCTCCCTTTTTCTTCGCCTGAATCCAGTTCTCGGGCTGAAACAAGGCACGCCAGGAAATGACCTCATTTTTGTTTGTTTGTTTTGGGCGCCTTACCCCTAAACATCCAAAATGTTTATTGGTGTTGATTTCACTCCTTTCATGACTTTGCCCAGTGTAGTAGCAGGCTGTGAAGTGTTGACTTCAACAGAAAAAAGAGGTGGCGGTTGCGGGCGTTTTTTGACACTAATGCTGTTTTTTAGTATGGATGGTGATTTGCCACAGCTGACTGTGTTCAGCTTTTTAAATGTTTTCTTAAAAGTACAGGGTATTTACAGAAAACATAACACAATCAAAGCGCCATTCTCCTACAAATTCATACCTTGTGGGAAAATGCTATTTTTTAAAAGTTCATTAATCAACAATTATTACGAGCGCAGCGTGCGAAGAGCAGTCATATGGGCAGGAAACATGATGATTCAGAAAGCATCTGAATTTCAAATCTGCTTCCTATTTGATGTAGCCTAATAATTTAGGTGGGCGGCAGCTCCCAGCCAAATCAACGACTGTGTCTTATCGGTGACGTCAACTGTCTTTCTTTCTGTGAGCGACAACAAACCACGGCAAGCATGACTCAGCAAGAAATCCCAAGAAATGCCCCCCCCCCGCCCCCCAAAGCCCAAAGCCCAAAGCCCAAAGCCCAAAGCCCAAAGCTGACATAAAAGGAGATGGCTGAGAAGCATTGTCATGACTTTAGTACTAAGAGCATGATCAAAGGTTACGATAATCGTACGCACTCATGATTCGAGTGGTTTCTGACTTGGCTCCTTCGATTAGGTATGCTCAGACCAAAACTATTTTGTGCTCCTTTTGTCAAGACTTGTCTGTGTGCTTAAGAGCCTCCCTCTCTGAATCACCTTGACAGCGAAGGAGACTGGGAAAGTAGCACAGGGCCAGGCACGCAGCCTTCTGTTGAGGAGGACCACAGCTTGCGAGAACCTGTGCAGCCTGTCCCTCCTGCTGCAGCAAACCTGTTCTTGAAGGACACAGAAGATGAACGGCGCTTCGTGCCTCGGACTTGAGACACCTGACCAGCTGGACTCAGGCCAGACATTGATTTGAGGAGGAAGGAATGATAAAACATGTTGGGTAGAAAGTTGCATTTAGTGGGGTAGGGTCAACAATGTGATAAAATTGTGACTAAATGGATCCCATCATGACATACTGTCAACAAGCTGCCTTCTTCTTTGCTTTCAAAACAAATCCATGACCTAACTGTTTCCAGCTTTACGTGAATTTCCACATACTGCAATGTCTTTGCATAATTAGATGATCAAATTCATCCTAAAACCCTCCACTGACTTAGTGTTTGTTCAGTACTGTTGCCATAAAGTGGGCTGCATCCCCTCCTTCTCTCTGGACAGTTTATCCCTGCCTCAGTCTACAGAGCTGTATTTGAGACAGGGAGGGGGCTTTGGGCAAGAAACACAACACAGGCTGCTACACATCAGTCTCCTCAACGGTTGATGCGTTTTCCATGCAAACAGCTGAGATTTTGCCTTGGGGTGATAAATCTTGTCACTTAGTCAGGGTGGAGGATTAAAGTCCATAAACTGCACCCTCAGCTCCGGTTGAGCACAGATACACTGCAGCATAAGGCCCTGTAGCCACAGCAAGTTAACTGCTGTCCCTTCTAAAGCACCTTCCTTTTCCGGCACTGACAGTTTGCCGTGGCTGCAGACTCATAGCAAAGCCATTTCTCGCTAGGCCTTCAGAGCGATGAATTCCCTGATTATGAGAAAAAGCCAATTACCTAGCTTTTATGAGTTTCATTACTTTACAACTTGGGTAAATTATTACTCCTGCTCAGAGCAACATGCCTTTTTTAACGCTTCTGCAGCTCCAACAGAACACCAAATGACAAATAATTACACATTGTAAAATGAGTTATGGCAGGCTAAAGAGCATTAGCTAGAGCAACAATGAAAAAGAAGAAACCCTTGTCAATCACAGAACCGTGCTTTCACAACGCAAACTGTGAGGAAATTAACGTCGATGAGAGCAAAGAAAGGAAAAGGAACAAAGAGCCACATGCTGCTGATGTTCAACGAATACAGGCTACGTAACGTTCAACATAAAACCCATTTATAGGCTAAGCCGTGGAAGTCTAATTCAAAGCTGTTTTAAAGACACTGAGCCAAGGTCATTCAGACATGTCTTGCTGACAAAGCAAAAACACCTGTTCCAGAGGGAGCCTTGTAACACTTTGAGGTATGGAGTAGCTCTTTTATCCTGACATAATTTCTCCCTTTTCCAAATGACATTATGAGACAAGTGCATCTATAACATCCTAATATACCTCTTTATTATTATTTATCTAACAGTAGTGATTCAGACATTTTTACAGATTCCCAAGTAAAGCGCATCAATTATAGGTCATGTTCTAAAATTGTACAAATAATTAAAAGGAGAGGAAATATCTTTCATTTTCTAGGCTAATATGCATACTAATATAATTTCTGCCATGTCCACATGGGATACATCGGAGTTTCAAATGACACTGCTGTCATTATGTGTGAGGATATGCCAGCCTGCAGAAGTGAGATCCAGTTCTGTCAGGATTCAGCTTTTCAAGAGTAAATTCATAAATTTCAAACACTGGCATATTACCACTTTTACCACTTTTTATTTTGAGCTAAAAAAGGATAATTGAAAAACAAGGCACAAAAAACAGGACTATATAATTGTATAAATTATGGTAATCAGCTGTCAACATTATCAATGCACTGTCCTATTAGCAAGACGGTTTAGAATCCGCAGGCTGAGGTAGATTTAACTAGCCAAAGGCCTAATTCAATCAAGCTGATTAGAATCTGCTACAACAGAGACAAAACTAAACCAGAACATCCTTTAACAAGACGCGGTATTGATATGCACTTCAGCAGAACACTGGCATATAAATGGGTAATCCTACAGTGGCACAAGTGATCATTTTGTTGTGGAAGATCAATTTCTCAAGCCTACTGAAAATCCAAACACGGAACAGTGTGTAAGAATCACTGACTCAGCATACATTCATGAACTGCTCTCTTTCAATCAGATAAAATGAATGTAATAACTGAAAAGGCTACCAGAGAACGCCAGACTACAAAGCTTTGAAGCTTTTCAATGTGGTACAATACTGGCAACACAATGCTGCCTAGTCCAGGTAAAGCTGATGCAAGTCTAATAAATAAAGAATAATTAAGTGTCTTAATCATTGTCTTTCATTCTGCATCCATTAAACAATCTCTCTGCTAGTAAATAATGCATGAGCAGATCACAGGGGGTTAAAACATTATTACTATTTCATAGAAATGGTTGCCTCGAATTCTAAGCCCAGCTTGAAACGCAGGCACTGTAGCGTGTCAGTGAAATTGAATGATTGTGAGAGAAAGTGTGGAGAAGAGAAGAGAAGAGAAGAGAAGAGAAGAGAAGAGAAGAGAAAAACAGAAGACAAGAAAAGACAAGAAAAGAGCAGAGAAATAAAAGGAAAAATGGGAGAAGAGAAGACGAGAAAGAAAAGGAAAAATGGGAGAAGAGAAGAGAAGAGAAGAGAAGAGAAGAGAAGAGAAGAGATGTACCTGTTGTGTTCTCTGGTCTCCTTGGCAGGGGTCTGGTCCATGGTGGGCTCCATGGGGGAAGGCAGCAGGTTCAGGCAGGAGGTGAGAGATTGGCTGGAGTCTTCCTGAGAAGCTAAAATAAGAAGCAGCAAGGCCAACAGTCACCCATAAAAACACAAGAAGAGAACACAAGCTGGTGGCTGCGACTGAGATTTAACATGACCATCATTCATCTCCAGAGGCTGACTTTACGCATTGTTAGACTATGTAAAATGGAACAAGCTGCCAAGTACTGCAAGTTAATTAAGACATATACCGACCTTGAGCTTGAGAAAGGTGCTATATAAATAAAACTTGGAAAAAAAATGGAGTTAGGAGATTTGATATAACAGAGACGAAATATGGAGCAATGGCAAAAAAATTTAAAATAAAAAAAATAAATAGTATAACACCATTAGGAAAAAATACAAACAGAAAATAGGATTGTTAATGGGTTGTTTGTTTTTATCTGTTTGTTTGTTTTTTTTATAATTAATTATCGCAAATAAATTGATGTAAAAAAATTATACCCACAGTTCCCTTCAGGATCTGATAAATCAAGATGCCCAGAGTAGTTTATGCTCGTGTCTATGAATTACTTTATGCATATGCAAAGATACCCACTTCTCATGCAAAAACTGCATTAGTATCAACAATGACATACTCAGAGTTATTCTGTCTAGAGGGTTTGCCCTTGGTGCTTGTTTACGTGCAGAGTCGCATGTACTGATGCAAGTCCTCCCGAAACAGCAGGGTGTTTGGAACATTAAGACTGACTTTATCTCTAATCTCTACAGTTGAGAGCATGCCTAGCTTTAGAGGCTAATAAATTATGAGATATTAAAATCATTTAATGTTGCCTTAGTCCTTACGTACTTAAAAGAAGGAAGTAAGATATGTAAAAATGATTCCTGCAAGCTATCCAACCACTGGGGTATTGTGTAACTTACTACGGCACGATATTTGGTGGGTTAAGAGTGCAGAATTGAATAAGAGCTTTTCATAGCAGTAGTGGGTCAACAGACGTACCATGCCGGTGTCTCTGGTCGTCTGAAAGCTCCAAGTCCAGCATCAGATCGTCCTCGTCCAGCTCTGAAGAGCCGAGATTGTTCAACACATCCTGTGAGAAGAGGAGCCATTTTGTCATTGTGCAAATTTCACCTAAAAACTGGAATCCACAATATAATGGGACATGTCCACTATATAATGAGACGTGTGCCTGTGTCTGTATGTTTATATATACACACATGCAAACATACATATAAATATATAATTATATACACACAGTCCATGTATATGTATACACATACACAAACACTCACACACACACACACACACACACACACACACACACACACACACACACACACATGTCCCATTATAGATGAATAATCTGATCTCAAAAACTAGGTCTGTCTGTTTTTGGGGCTGATCAAAATGGAGGTCAAAATAAATCAGTGCATCTGAATAACAGGTACTGCTTGATGAAGTTGCTCAACCAAAACCAAATCTATGATGGAGACTTATCAAGAGAGACACACTGCCATCTTGTGACTGATGTAGAAAATACAGATAAATCTGTAAAAAGGGGAAAAAAGGAATAGGAAGAAGAACAAAAAGCAAAAAGAAAAAAAAAGACATACTGCTGAAATGCAGTCTAGGGGATAATTGTGCTTGAGAAATGAATGTAAAAATGGTAAAGAGGCAAAAGAAGAGACAGCAAAGTCCCAGTAAAGCAGAACAAAACGGCAGCTCTGAGGGTAATTAGCCTACACAGACACGGCAATCAGACGCAAGAATGGGTTACTTGCTACAATTGAAACTTAAGCAACTACTCAAAAGACTGTGAGCAGGGAATAGTGTAAGTTTAAGCCCCTATCAGGGAAATGTTACACCACCACAATTAGTCATCGCTGGTATTAAAACAATTTCCTCACAAGAAGAACACATAAACATTCAGTCATGTTAAAGCCATTTTTATAGACTTGTTCAGATCATGCAACGAACAATCATGTAGGTTTCAATCGCACCCATCAAGTGTTGGATGGCCGTTACTTAAATATGATGTGATAGCTATGACTAAGGTGGTGACAATCAATCTCTTAAACGCAATTATTCAATTAAAAATAACCAGTCAAAATTTTCCACCTTTATAAATTGGCAGTCACATCCTGATATGTTATGTTGGTGATACAACATTTTTTGGATTCTCCTACTGGTCTCTCTTTTAGTAAAAAAAGAGCCTGATAAACACACCTATTTGTATACATTTCTTGCCAAACAGTCTTTAATTATGTCTTTTTAAAGAGTTTCTAGCTTATCTTTTTTCCAGTAAAGTACTATGGAGTCTTTGCATGTCTATGCATCAAGCCTGCATGGTTTGCAGCATTTCCCCCAGGTCTCCTACCATCTAGTCACAGCAGGCTTTAATCACAGAATTTCTTGTTCCTTAAAGAAACCAAGTTTTCTGAACCCTGAAATATTAGTATGGGGAGGTTTTCTTGACATACGGTGTTGCAAGCCCGAATAGAGGATAATTACAGATGTGAAACTCAAACATTGTGTTTCATCTTTGCTGTTTTATTACAAGAAAACCAGCAAGAGCTCCACATTCTGGATATACAAACACATAGGCAATTAACTTTCTAGAGCATTCTTCAAGCCCTAATAATCAAAAACAGATCTATTTGGGCTTCCTCACTTGACAGTTACATATGTATTTCCATACAAAAATAAACAAATTATACTAATTATACTAATATTAATAACACTTCTTGGAAATAAATGTACAGAAAATGCAAAATGTGGTGTATTCACACATCTAGTGCATTCAGCGTTTTTATAAAAATAATTCTGTGCAATGATACTACTCCAGCCGCACATCGGATGACGTTTGCACAACAACACAGGTAGCTTTAGAGGGTCTTCCACACAGCATAAAGAAAAAAATAAATAGGAGAAACATTGGTTTGTTATAGTTCAGTGGATATGCCCTTTTTCCAACTCTACGATTTGATTAATTGTCAAAGTCATTGATAGAAACTACAATTGCCAGTGGCAGCTCTAGTTATAACAAGCTCGAATCTAGAGATAATAACTCAGTTAGTGTGCCTACGCATGCTGTCTACAACCCAACCACGAAGGACAAAAACTGCAGCACTGTCTATAATCTCCTACTCTGAAAATCTCACGTTAACATTTAGTGCTGAGAGGGATTTCGGAGGTGACAGAGATCTGACATTTACTGTGACTCACTCTCTCTATCCCCAGACATCCAGATTGATTTTCTCATCCTCTAATGTCATAGCCAGGAGAAAACATCTTTAACTCATTAATGCTGCATCCTGAGGCCTCTGTCAAGCAGGTCAAAATAGTTCAATAGCAACATAAACAGCTTTCTATCTCCTGATATTTTAGCACCGCTTCAAAAAACACACCCTTGTGAGAAAACAAACATGCTGAAACATTCAGCTGCACAAGGGATCATTCAAAGCTGCACCTGAACGCAGGTTATTCTAGGACACAACTCCCAGCAATGTCACCTTCTGAATCAAAACAGTAAAAAGTTTCACCATTAACCTTTGTAAACAGCCACATTAAGACAACAAAATAACAACAACAATAATAGCTGGAACTTACAACTTATTCAGTATTCCAGGAAAGTAAACAGTTAGCACAGCTTAAAGTTTGATGAGGTCTATGTGTCCACGGCTTGTAAATTTGTTGTTCTAGACTGAAGGAGAATCTTGTGTGCTACAAGAGAAAGCAATGTTTTCATGCTGTGCTGGCTTGGAACAAGGGTATCCATACTGGGAAACAGGTGGTCTGACCAGGATGGTCACTGTTTTTGCTCATTTTAAAGAGTCGTCATAAAAAGGTGGAAGACTTCCATTGTGTAGGTTCTATCGATCTGGGCGACGTTGACATTCAACGTGAAAATTGCTTTTCTGACACAGTCCAGTAAACCATTAAAGGTGGTCTTAACTCTTAATAAACTTGAAGAGAATATCTTCTTAGTCACCATCACAAAACATCGCTTTTGCAAAGGATGTCTTTAAGGACAAGCAGGTCACAGCAGGCTATACTGCAAAACTCTCAGCTGAATATGACACGTTCCTAAAAAAAAGCTTACTGCAGTGATCTTAGCCTTAGGTGATTTTAATATAGCCCTGTTTCCTAGTTTAATACAGACTAGTTTAATACAGCCCTGAAAAATTATTGCTACTGAAAGGCTCTTCAACTCATATGAGCATCTGAATATGGTGATTCAACTGCATAAATTTGGGATTGTTACATATCATTTGTAGTAATTAAAAATAATATTCAATTATGTGAGCAATTTATGGCCAAGATAACAAGGGTAGACACTGCCTTTGTCTGGTGTCCCTAGCCACAATATTTCACGTTTCTGCCACTAAAAATGCAGCTTGTTGCTTGAGCGGCCACAAGTTTCACTGGCTTGGTGGATCTGTCTACTCCTGATAATAAAAAAAATCATTGGGTATTGTTTTTATTGTCTATATTTCATTAATTTGTAAATAGTTCCTCCAGATACATTTGTGTAGTCCTTAGTGTAATTCTCAATCATAAATCAATGAATGGAATCATGGTGAAATTCGATAATTCATTATCAAATATTTCGCTAATGCAACATCACTGGACAACTGAATGCACTCGGAGGTAAGGGCCAAGCACCAGTTCTGCTACGTCAGCTAACAGACGCCTGTTCTGGCTAGCATCCCACTGAGTGATTGAGGAGAAGGATGTAGCATCACAGGAGACAGAACTCGCGATCACCTAGCCAACTCTTGCACTACTCGGGAGCCTGAACTTAAATTCTTACCACGATTCTTATTTCTTTATAGCCAAATTGTACTTGTGCATTTCCAGTACCTTCTTTCAGCCAAAGTTGCAATATAATTAACAATACTTTTTTTTAATAGTGACATCAGTTACCTGAAAAAACAGTTACCTTTAAATCACGCGAATAAAATAAATTGCTACAGCACAACTAAGGCATTTAGATAATTAGCACAGTGAGTCCTGCATAATTATGCTAAAAATTTTGGTGTAGGTGTAGTAGAATCAACACACAGCATGAGTGAACTTACCTGCCTTACATTATTTATGTCAAAAAATTGCAACACATATTTGCCAAAATCAAAATAAATAAATTGGCTGATTGCAAATCACTGTTTGGAGCCTAAAAAGAATAGCTGATTCCAGTCATGCTTCCCTAATTGATATGCTTTTTAAATAATTATTCTAAGAATGAAGTCAGAGATTTACAGTGACCGTAGTTTAGTATGGCCAAGAAGTACTATAGCTCCTATAAGTGATATGATTAAGAAACTTGAAAACTAGGCTTATTAGAGCAGCTCTACTGCAGGAATCCATTGTCTTCTAGGCTTCTGCCGGCACAAGACATGCACAAAGGTCAAATGCTGTGACAGCCAGTTACATAATGCCAAGCATCAGGGGGACATCTCAGCTAGTGTCCTACAAAGGACATGGATAAGCTGGTGAGAAGCCCGAGGGAAACGACTGAGCCACGCCTAGCAAGTCATCAGAAGAAAAGCCCTACTGAATAGCCTCTGTCCTGGACGTTGGCTTCAAGCTGGCATGTTATGGTGGGATGCAATAGAAAAGACTGCCCTCAGAGCAAAAATCCAATGCTGCCAAAAACGTTCAGCGGCAATGGGGATGAAACGTCTAGCAAGATTATGGGAAGCCATCTGGATAAAGTTGGTTAAATGGATCAAACAAGCAGAGATTCTACAGAATATCTTATTGTCAACAAGGAGCTTGAGAATCGCCACTCTGTGAGTCATTTCCTGACAAATGCTGACCCTCTGCCACCATGGAATACAAATGCTGTTCTGTAGCCAACTCTCTGCCAAAGAGCTACTGCCAAATACAAACATGCCCCAGCATCCTCTGCAGCTGTTCCATTGCTTATTAAACATAGGTGGCTCTGTTTGCAGGTCATACTGCTGATTACTGGTATCTAAAACCCTCTGGACAACAATGTAACCAGGCAACTTCCTCAATTCAGCAACGAAAAGATTTAAGTGAACATGAATATTCTGGCATGATTTAAGTGGACATGAATATTCTAGC